AACCGACAACAATTGAAAAAGTGTGCATTACTTCTATAATAGTAGCTGGGCATATGTAGCTTATGGTAAGTAGATCCATAAGATGCAATTATTGTATATGAAGTAGTATGATTCGGAGATGGTGAAAATGAAAAGTTCGATTTCTTCCCAGTTCTTATTTTTTGCAAAAAAAGGGTTTCGTCCACACCAGTCTGGTTGGCACTTTTTGAGACAAAAACGTTGCTTTCCTCCATTCTTGTCCTGAAGTTGTCAGTGGGTGGGCTTGAACTGCTTTTTTGCGTTTTTTGCAGCTATGCTGTGCAGAAAACGCATATTGACGAGGGGTTGTCTGTGTCTGTGTGTGTGTGTATCTATGTGGCCGTGTGTGCGTCTGTCACGCTTTTTCATCTCAAGACTTGCAGAAACTACAGGGCTGAAATTTGGGCAACTTAATCTACATGCACCTAGGGGCCCTAATCCTCAAAATGGGCGCCATTGCCCGCGTGGTATCCACGTAAGAGCCCGCCAAACTTTTTTACGGGTAAGCTGCTAACTCGGGAACCAGGAGTGCTTGGGGGCTGAAATTTTGAGGGGACGTTCCCCGTCCAAGTGGGTATTAACGAGTTCACACCCTGCCCGCGGGTAAGCGTGGTACCCTACGTACGGTCCCGTGAAACTTTCTTCCGGGTAAGTTGCTAACTCGGGGAAGTGAGGAGCTAAAAGACTGGAATTTTGAAGGAATGTTTCTTGACAATCCTGGCGGCTAATCTGAAATTCTTTTAGCTAGAAGCATCTGCCGGAAAAACCAGTGTCGTTAGCGACAAAAATCTGCGAGGAGCTATGCAAAAAACGCATCTTCGCACGGGCAGTCTGTGCGTTGGCCAATTGTTTTTTTCTAGCAAGCGACTTCGTGTTTTTTGACCATCTCCAGAAGAATGAAAAAAGACTTGGTCACAACATCATACAAAGATTGTTAACGACATCAGCAACATGTTACAATGAAGCGATAGCTGATCAAAGTAAACTG